CCGGCTATTCATCTCCTGCATTTCTTTCTGCAAACTTTCCACCTTTTCCTCCAAGGACATGTTTGCTTCTGAAGTGGTAGTAGTTTCTACTATTATTCTTCTAAGTCTTCTTTGATACTGTGATGTGATGAGTATTCAAATGTTAACTAGACATAACGCTTAGGACACACTAGACTCAATCACACATAGCAAATCTGTATCTTAGCAAATCTTTGGCTCTGATACCAATTTGTAACATCCCTTTTAGAGAAACCATAGGTCCATCAAGTAGGGAGATATATTGCACAGCTAAGTACACAAAAATACAAAAGACATCTATAATATCAAACTATTCAATTTATATACTATTCTCAGGCTCAATACAGTAAAGATAGGTTTAAAATTATAGAGCCAAATGAAAGTTTTGGGCAGATACATATTTTCCTTACTGAAATTTGCAGCATAGCTTATAGTTAGCATAGGGCCTCCACCCACAAAAATTCTTAAGAACAACAACTACTCTTCACTGCTGCTATTTGAAATGGTTGGAATAACATGAGCTCACAACCCAATAAGTATAATTCTTAATCTCAAGTTAAGCTGCCAATTTAATCTTTAGTATCTTGTGCAGAAGAATTCCTTAAATTCTTAACTGTATGAACATTGTAGAAATTGAGGCATTTCAATCATAAATGATCACACAAACACAACACATCATAATAGTGATAACACAAACTATGGAGTCCACTGAATGTGCATGCACTCACATTAGGTGCTAGAGCTAGTCATAGCACTTACCTACTGCGTAGAGGTTCACTAGTTCACTGTTCTAACCCCCAAGCCTAGGTGGGGTTCAAACTCTCCATAGTTCTAAGACAATTGCATAACATCACCATATATAGCACATACTCATGCATAACAATGTTCAATGTTTACTTAATATGGTCTATAGAACCAATAGAATTAGGCTATAATGGAGTGTTCAGGTTAGATACACAAGACATAGTCTAGAAAAGGTGATACACATAACATATTAATCTCACAAATTGAACTGTAAAGATTTCACAGTTTCAGCATAAGGAATTTCTAATTTAGCTCACTACTGTATTTATTTCTCTATTTTTTTTTATATAATTTAAACTGCAGCAGCCTAATTTCCTATGCTTATTTTATTGCTTTATTTATTGTTTGGCAATCTTAACTTAAAATTAAGAATCACACTTACCTACACACTTTCTTCAAAAATCTTGAACTTGATAGAATTCTTCAATATTCTCCCAATTTGCTTAACCTATCTGCACCATCCTTCTCCTTCTCTTTTGGTCCAGCTATAAGCAAAATATATGAAAATAGCCCATTTAGTGATATGGTCCAAGAAGTCCCAGTCAAGTGGGTCTTAAATGCCCCCCACTTGGCCTACTTCTCATCCAGCCACCTGTTATTTATTTTAACAGGTTGTTGACAGCTGGACTATATTAATTTCTCCTTGAGATAGACACTAGGACTGTAGTTTATTAAATTAACATGCAATCCCCTAATTAACAAATATTATATATTTGTCCCTAATTCTAGATAAAATGAAGGGCTCTAACTTAAACTTAATGCAATTAAGGACTTATTCTCTTTAACTTATTCCAAATAAGGATTGGAATATCACATCTATAAGACTATCATAATTCACCCATGAGACATGACTCAGAAGCCATTCTCAGTACTATAATTGAGTAGAGGGATCTCATCATCTAAATATCCAAAAAGAGTGGAGGCACTCTATTTTAACAACCCATAGGAATGAGTCATAACTATACTGCACCACTCTTGGTGTTTAACTCTGTCATATCTTTCTAGAGTTGCTAATAACACATATTTTTATTAAATTACAAGTATTGGAGTTAGGCTTTGAGTAGAAGTCCATATCCCGCTTCAATTTCGAGTTTCCAATTTTGTTCCTTAGCCAAAATCCTTGTCAAATGCGGATTACCATTCCAACTGCATATGTTCCAGAACCTTTCAAATAAGTTCTAAAACTTTTCCTCAAAATTGCAACGATATTGACTTAGACAATACAAATGCTCTGAAACTTTTCCCTTTGTTCCAAAACTTTTACCAAGTTCTGTCAACTCCATTTAATTTTAACTTCAATTTCTTCAATAAATTCAATGCATAAATCCCAACATATATAATGCTCTATTTTTTTTGGTATACCAATAAAGCTAATTAACTAAAAAGACTTAAGTCTTAGGAAACATAGCTCCCACCTTGTCCTCAAAGAGGCTATGCGCGCTGCAATCCAACAGGAGGGGAATCTAAAAATGTGACTCCATGGCAAGCTGTATGACCCAGCAAAGCAAGAAAGTCTATCGCGACGTTTCCTCCTTAAAGTGTATGGCGAAGGATAAAAGAGGATAACTGGACTCAGATGGTTTTAGGGTGCGTTTGGGATGGTTGTAAAATGTTGTAGTTGTAACTGTAACTACAGTTGTGGTTGTG